GTAGGAGAACAGCACTGGCTGTGGATTGACTACTGTGCTTTTTCTCTTTTGCATTTATCCTTCAACCTACAGCTGATGAAGAAGGCGAATACTATGATGGTAGCTCAGTGTTGTCTTAGGACAACCAAGTCATCTTTCTAACATCTCACTCTTTTTTTTCTCTATTTGTTTTTGTTCCTCACTTGATTTTAAACTCAGGAACTGGGCCAAAACATCTCTGCCGCAAAGAATTGCTTACTGTGCATATCCAATCACCCTTGGGGGGGGGGGGGTGTCACTGTTGTATTGAGAAGCTTGTACATCCTCATTAGGATAGCAGATGGTGAAAACCAAGCTCTAGAAGCTTGCTCTGGACTTGTCTTTTAGCTAGAACCTGTTGTGTCATACCTTTCATCAGCAAACCTTCTCTATCCCCAAAAATCAGGAAAGTTATCTCTTAAATCCCAGTGGCATGCTTGAAAATAGAGCTGAGCCCTGCATAGATGTGCCTTCCTCACCCAACCTTTAGAAGGTCATGGTCTCCAGGCCTGAATCTACAGACATTTAAACTTCTGCTCTAGCCATGCACTTAAAATTGTGCTAAACATCAAGCATGTGAATAAATTTATTCATACTGGTGGGGCAGGCCATGGGCTTAAGATAGTGTGCTCATAATACTTGGTTGAGTGGGCACTTGAGCACATGGGTGGGGACGAGACTCATGTAAAAGGACCAAATCTAAATGTATGCAGGGCCAGTTTTGCTCTTGTATGAGGGCAAGATAACTTAAGGCCCCTGGGCCAAATTTCAAACCAGTTTAAATGTATAGAAAGACTCTCATTGACTTTTACAGGCCTTTGAAGTAGCTCGGTTGCGTTCTGACTGCCTCAACCCCTAGAACACCTGGCCAGCTGTTTCCAAAGACAAAGCCCAGTGCCACTTGAAATAACCCTGCATTTTCTGTGTTTCCTTGTTTTGTTTTGTTTTTGTAGATTTTTTTTTTGTTCGTTTGTTTTAATTTTCTTGCTCGCTTTTCAGGCTTTTTTCTTATTTAGGAGAATACCCTGAGGACCTTTCTGAGCCCGTTTCTCTCCTTTTTCTCTCTCTTTCCTTTTATTTTTTTATAGCATATTGATTTTTTTTTTTTTTTCCCAAGGATGCACTGTGAGTTAGAGATGTTGCTCCTGAGAAGTGGGATTAAGGGAGGGTGTTTAGGGATTTCTGAATGAAGTAAAGGCAGTTCAGATGGATTCACAGAAAAGGGGAGTGCTGTGTGAATATCTCATAGACTGGGCAGGAGAAAGCGAGGTTGTATTTATGGTGGCGTGTACTCTCCCTGCGCTAAACCTTTTGGAAACCAGAAACTCAGAGACTCTCTAATCATTAGGGCAGTGAACTTGGATTTCCAGTGGCTCTTGCCTTCTTTTGGCAGGGTTGTGTGTGGGGATTTTGTCACAGTCCCATGGCTCATGGGCAGAATGATCAGCATGTCAGTCAAAATCCGCCACAGGAACAGGAATTTGCTATGACAATTCCTCCTTGTCAACAAATTTTGGCCCAGTTCCTTGACTTGGTGTCTTGAAAGCAGGGGCATTTCAAACTAAATCACATCCCTGGGCTGCTTTTGGTGCATACAGTATGGACCATGCTGGGTCATGCACTGCAAAAGACAGATTTATTACTGTTTGTTTTTTAATAAAGGCTCCTATTTCTTTATTATCCCCTTTTCTGGTTTTCTGGAGGTACCTTTAAATATTCTAACTACAATTTTTTATTTAAAAAACAACTAACCTTAATTTTTCTTTTTATTTTTACAATTGTTTGTTGGTTTAATTAAGTTTAAAGTGCGATTTGGTGGCAGCTGAAACCAAATTCACATAGTCATTGACACACAGGTGTCGATCCTGGCAACCAAGGTCAACAAACAAAACCAGTCATTTCCCGTCTACTTTTTTTTCCCCCTCTCTCTGAAATGTTACTAACTGGCAGCTTTAAGCTAAACAGGAATGTTTCTGAAAATTATCTGGGTATGTCATGAGGGAAGGGAATCCTGTGTGAATAACATCCCTGACAGACTGGTTAATCGTGATTGCTTTTCCTCTCTCCAGATGAAAAAAAAATGATTTAACTAATGTGTTAAGAAGCTCACTGGCTATTTGAAAAGCAAAACAACTAAAAAAATAATTGGAGAAATACAGAAGTACACTGTTGGCTAATAGTATATTTCTTCAGGAGTGATTTGTGTCTTCTTTTATACAAGTGCTCTAAACCACTTTTCTAATTACATGCTGTTTATTTTATTAGCATTGCTCTAGCATCTCAAGGCCTCAACTGAGATATGTTTTGGTAGGCAGTGTTCTTGCAGTAAATGAGAAAAGTCTACCCCCCAGAATTTCATTACTGAAATTGGTATGGGAAAGTGTGAGAGAAAGGAAAGGTTGGTTTCTGATCTCTCACGTCATTTCTCTTAATTATCTCAATAACCCATTTCCAGCCACTTCCTCAATTTTTTTATTATCTAACATCCTTGCAACTGATGTCTCCACTAAATACTTTCCAGTAGCAGTTTTTTGCTATTTTTTTCCTCTTATAATGTTTCATTTTATTTTATCCTACCCTGTTCCGTTTGCTATTCCCAATTTCCTCCATCAGTCCCAAAACATCTGCATGCAAAACAAGCATTTGAAAAAATATAATAGCTTTCTGTATCATGATATGGATAGCAGGGCTCATGCACCCACTCCTGAGGGAGGCTGTTTTTACTCTCACTTTACAAAGCTGGTTGTTTTTACCAGATTCAATAGGCTGTGAGCTTTTTACCTCAGTTCCTCCCACTGAACCAACACAGGGAGCGTCTTGTACTGCAGTATCCAGCAGCACCCCTGAAAGTTGAAACACAGCGTGTGGTTATGAAAGTCAACCTGGGTCCCTGTGAGACTGGGCCAGAAAAAAACACACAGGTTTAATTTATTTCTGTTTGTGAGAATAACAGTGCTGAACTTACTGGCATTACACTGGAGTTAATACCTGAAGTTTAAAAAGCATAGCAGGGAGGGGAATTGATCACAAGCACAAATGTTAAGCAAGTAACTCATAAGACAGCACATTTCTGAGAGGCAGGGAAAGGTCACTTGTTGCAGGGGAACACTTCTGACTGCCAGAAGGCCCAAGTTCACAGTCTTGGTGACGGTTTAGCCTGCCTGTCAGGGCATTATGCCTCTCCTGGAGATGCAAAGATCATTCCCATTAAAACCCATGGGAATTTTGCATTTACCT